CTCTATTCTCTATTGAAGGCAGAAAGTCATTCCAAACCGCAGACAAGCAAGTTAAAAAAAAAAAAAATTTTCTTACAGAAAAATAGAAAAGCAAATCCTTACAAAAACACATTTTGAAGGTTCCATCCGTTGTATCATCGAAGTTGAGCACCGGAAAATCCCTGGAATATTGCTATGAAACGGTGACTCGAGAGAAGTCAGCCACAATGGTATTGATGAAGAGTACGTGGGGAAGCATATTGACAAGGTAGCAATAGAAAACGGAGCCAAAAAAAGGCCAATTTGGAAGCAGATTCTTTCATATGCTAATGTTTTCTTTTTTTTTATTAATTATTCTCCGTACTTAAATTATTGGGTTGCATATATGTTTTTCTTTTAACGATAAATTTGTCTCTTTGCTAACCATTAACATGTAAAAGTTGTTTAGAAATATGAACCTTTTGCAGGGTTATGATCAACTCAGTATTTGTCGGCTAAGCAAAAACCTCATCAATTAGATCACAAAAATCAATCGCTAGAAGGTACAATGGCATAATATCTTTTCTACGCCCTTGCAAAAATGCATTGTTCATTTTGTTTAATTAGTAGTTTGGATTTGTTTATTTTTATTATGCCAAAAGACAGTTTCATTCTTTTGATATTTTGGGCTTGGATTTGTTTTTAGTTTATTTTGCCTTGTCGATACTTTCCTTCTTTTGATATTTTGTGTGATTTAGTAAAAATATACATATAAAGTGCTAAATATCTTTATTGAGTATTACACTTAAAAAAAAAAAAACTAATGGTCAACTTAGGATGGAATCCTTAATCTATTGGTAATAATTATCCTAATCCTAACCTCAGCCCTTCCACCCTCTCGAGTATTACCCCTTAATAGTTCAATATATTATGCTATGCAGGTCTGAAGCTTCATGGTTTCGCTTACGAAGAGGAATGCGTTAACTGGTTAGCAAACTAAGATAAAACACTTCGGGGTTTTATTTCATTAGATTATTACAAAAGTTCTACAATCAGTAAAATGTTGAGATGTAATATAAGTTTTCTGTTTCTAATCATGTGCTTTTCTTTTTACTTGGAAATAGTCAGAACAGAGATATTATGATAGTAAAATGAAAATTTTTCTATATATCAATTTTCGATCTTACGCTTTTTCTATTATATTTCTTTATATCAAAATGATTGTACCATTCGGTGCATTATAATTCGACAAGTCAGTCGACATTTTTGAGATAAAAAGAGTTCATTATATTATTGGTTAGATTTATGGGAATTAAAAACATGAAAAAAAAACATTACACTTGTGACGGTGCAACTATTGATAATGATAAAAAGGCAAAAGGAAATATTGGAAAACACATTACACTTGTGACGGTGCAACTAATTGTTATTCCATGGAAAATGAATGCATCCTTAATATCTTGAATGATGAAGGAGGATTAAAAAAAATACGGAAATTAACTATTCATAGCGTTGAAATCTCTTTCTCTTTTTTAACACAAATGGAAACCTGACTATCTCTGTTCTTTCCAATGATTTTGTATTTGTGTTGATATTTCTTCACGTGAAGGAAAATTTTGCAATGAGATGCATAATCATGCAATTGGAATGGATACTAATGAAAAACAAGTGACCTAGATATTCTGTTTTTATCGGCACTCATTGAAGAACATAAAATTTAATTTGATTGAAGTTATGGAAATTGGAATTGAGGACGAACTATTTATATTTTTTTAAAAGAAAATCAGAGAGAGAAATTAATATTAATTCATATAGTGGCCACATAGAATTTAGAAACGAAATCAAAGGTGTAACTTTTTCATTCTTCCTCAAAAAATAACTAAGGTTTCGTTTGGTTGGATTGAATCGGAATTGAATTTGAATTGTAATCCAATTGAATTAAAAATGAAATATTGAGATTGTAATTCAATCTTAATTTCTTTGTTTGGGAGATCTTAAAAATTGAGTTGAATTAAGGTTCTAATACCAATTCTTCCGTTTGGATTTTTAAGAATTTAGATAGTTTAGAATTAGCTTGTAATTGCATAAATTTTTATCCAATTCATATATTTGTTTTTATTTGGAGACTTTACTCTTGGAAATTAAGCCAAATTAAAATTAAAACAAAACTTTGTGATGAAATAAAAGGATTTGATCACTTTATGTTCTCATTTTGATCGTTTTGGATCCCTACTAAATTTGGGTTGGAACGTTGAGTGATTCATCTCATATCACACTAATATAATTATATATGAGGATCCAAGCGATTAAAAAGAACAAATAATTTACTTGATTGATTAACATATTCATTAAAAACTTTTTTTTTCCATTACGTGAGAATTGTTAAATGATAGTTTTCTCTTATCAGGCGAAAGAGTAATTTTTAGATGTTTTTGTATATAGAAAATTTTAGATTTAAAATAAAAGTCAATTTATACATTTTAGTATTCGTTTATATAGAGATTTACATCAATTTATTATATGATAATAATTATATATTTTTTCTTTCTTAGTTTATGATTATAGATGAAAAACATATAAAAATGCTTAAACTCTAGTATAAAAGTATTAATTAAATTTTTTTTTTTTGGGTGAACAATTAAAATCTTCTTATATGGTTTGTTGGGTATTGCTATATTTACATATTTTCTAGACCCAAAGCAGGAGGAAGTAAAAAAACAATTTAAAAGAAGATTTGGAAAAAAAAGGCAAGACGCAAAAAAAGTTGGGGAAGGGTTAATTTTTTTTTTTTCCCTTCGAGGATGAAAAAAAAGTTGTGCGTGGGCAGTGGGAATAACCAAATAGGTATTTTTCAGAAACTAAGGAGAGTGTATACACGCAAAAGCCATAGGATAGTTTTTGGCCATTTGACCCATTTTTCTTATAACCCGGTTTTAGAACTACAATTATTTTTCTTTAAGTCCCCGAATTAGAACTATAATTATTTGCTCTCACAAAAAAATTTAAAATAAAGAATTGAGTCTAATCTTGAATTATTATTCCAATTCCGAAACTTTTATTTTTGTCAGCCAAACACAAGAATTGCAATTGAAGATCTTCAATTCTAATTCTTGAGTCCAATTCAATTCAACCAAACAGAGCCTAAGCGTAATTGAACAAGAATTCATTTTTATAGTACAGGGCTCAATATTACTCTTGATGCTTCATCAAAATTTAAAATGTGCATGATAACATTTTCATCATCCGAAAACTCGGTGTAATTTAAGGAAAGGATCTCCTCATCTCACTTTCAGAATATTTAATTAAGATCCTTTACATAAAAATATATTTCTAGATAAATAATTAATTTTAGAAAATATATTAAAATTAGACAGTTATTTTGAGACTTAAATTTCTTTTTATATATTATCTTGCACCCTCTTTTATGTCGATCACCCAAGTGTCGAAGGCGAAATCCGTTAGGACGAGGGTCAATGGTATCTATGGACCTGAGACCTGCAAAACAAGGGTTATCACTCCGACGAACAAGTCAATGTCAAGAGTGAATGTATAAAATGTGAGCCAAGAAGGGAGTAGGAGGAAGAGCTTACTCTCCACCACAAAAAAATGGGATATATATAGATAAGGTGAGGGAAATATTCTCTGAGAATATTCCTTTCAATGATGGGCTTGGGCCATTGTTAGGGCTTTAGCCGGCCTAATAAGCCATAAAAGAATATTATCGGACCCATGAATGGTTGTCGGCCCAAGTGAAGTTACATTATCGACTTACTAATTGCTTAGGAGCATGAGTTTGGTGTCCGACGTTGTCTGATACGTTGGATAATATAGTACGGGCATCCGTGGTCCCCCGCGGACACAAAAGAGGTCTGAAGCTTTGATTACATAGGTAGAGACAATGAAAAGTGGATCATGATGGACCACCAGACTGAGCTAGGTTATCATCAGCCGAAGACGACCAATGAGGAGTAAAAAGTTTACTTTAGGATAAGCTGACGCTGGTTAAGTCGTCAAGTGACGAAAACCAACATTGATGGCTCAATAAAGGTCGAAGGCGTCACGGACGTTCCGTGAGCAAGATGTGAAACCTGATGATAAGTGAAGAGGCGTACGATAATCATCGAAACGTCAATAGTCAGTAGGTAAGTTCAACTGTCAGGAGAGGTGATTAGAGCTAGAAGTTGCCCCCGTATGATGTTTTCAGAAAAGGACACTGGCGATAATCAACAGATAAGCGAAGAGGAGTAATCCTCATGCCAGTACTCTTGGACAAGTGTGTAAGCGATCGGACGGACCGAGGGGTGTCGTCGAGAAGACATAAATCTCAGCAGCCTGTAATAAGCCGAGGGATGTTGTCGAGACGAACAATCAGTGTATATTCGTACTCGAAGAAGGTGGGGCAAACAGGTTGCCCCTTTCATCTTCGAAGGTAGAAAAATATTCACAAGCGCAGGTAAACATGAGGAGTCTTATCCTAAACTTTAGACGAGTCCTGCAAAACCGTTAGGACGAGGGTCAACGGTATCTATGGACCTGAGACCTGCAAAACAAGGGTTAGCACTCCGACGAGCAAGTCGGTGTCAAAAGTATAAAATGTGAGCCAAGAAGAGAGTAGGAGGAAGAGCTTACTCTCTACCACAAAAAATGGGGTATATATAGATAAGGTGAGGGGAATATTCCCTGAGAATATTCCTTTCAATGATGGGCGGCCATTGTTAGCTTTAATTTGCCTAAGCCATAAAAGAATATTATCGGACCCATAAATGGTTGTCGGCCCAAGTGAAGTTACACCTTCAACACCAAGTTATATCATGCATGCCAATTCTTTCTTCACGAGTGGATTTAAAGTTGAAGAAGATATGGTTCTTTTAAAATTTGACTCTCTTTTTTTTTTGTAGTTTTATGTTTTTCAGTTTAAAGTTTACATAAAAAATTTTTAAGACATTTCATAAAAAAACTTACATCTACCCCACACATCGTGCGTGTTTAACATCTAGTTTATTATTATCAGTTTCAGAAAAAATACTCTACTGTGTTGAATTATTTTTATTCTTTTATTTTAAAACTCTCATAAATACAATAATTTGAAAAGGGTTTAAGATTAACATAACCCAATTATGTGCACATGTCATGATCCTCAACTTTTTGAAAATCAAGCTAAGAAAGTCTACTGTGAACGGAAATTGAGTATCGAAGACGTAACTATCTCTATTATATGAGTAAGTTTATTCACAACTACTAACACTACAATTAGAACAATGTTTGACACCAAAGCTCAACCAGTATCAAAATGGCGTTATTGCTAGTAAATTTTTTTTTTAGCATTATCTAATTCATGAATAAATAATTCCATGCATAACTACTCTTCCTTCTAAAATAATCCAACACCGGCCCACTCAGCATCGACCATTGCCGGAGGCGATGATCTCCGGTATGAAGTCGACGAAAATACCGGCGAAGAATCTCGAGATGGAGACGAAGAAGAAGACTTCCTCCTACTGGATGACGACAATGGTGATCGGGCCTCAAGATCCGAGTTTCTGTCGGGTTCGGACTCGGGTTTCACATTAAGCAGATTGGGCTGCTTGTATAAGGATGGTAGACATCCACCCGGATAAAAAATGTCGGGCCCAGACAACATGGATTTGTGGGAGCTGAAGCGATCCGATAGAGCTCGTGGAGTGGACAGTAAAGAACGGGTTCGGGCCTCCATCCGGGGCTGAAGCTGTAATCTCCCTGGCGGCGTTGCTAGTTGACCTGAAAATGCCTTGTTGTGCTCTCTGTGCAAAACATGTCCGGGTTGCTGGGCTTGATCCTTTGGAACTCCGGGTCGGATCTCCCATTTAAACGGGATAGCACCTTGCTTTTTGAAGGATCCATCCCCAGCCATATGTTTAGTTTTGATCAACCAAAAACAAAATAATATAGTAGCACTATTGGGAAAGAGAGAAAGAGAGAAATAAAAAAAGTGTTTAAATTGTGTTTTGGGTAGAGCTTACTAGATATAGAGAGAGTTCTAGATAGAAGAATAAAATTTTTTGTTTGAAAATTTGAAAACCAACAAAAGAAACTAAAGATAAGAGTTTTGAATGTTGAAGGATAACAATCATGATGGATGTAGTTCTGGCTTGATTAAAGGCGTGGGCCGAGGGGTTGGTGGGGCTAATTAACACACAGTATATAGGATTTTTTTATTTTTTACTAGTATTATTCTTTACTATTGTTTTTTAAACTAGTAGTACTTTAATTTTTGCTACGATTAAACTTTCGTTTTCGTGTTTGTTAATTTCATTTTGAACACTGGAACAAAGTTATTCAACTTATGACTTACGATAGTTGAGATTAACCGGCGTACCTGCTTGATCTACGCTTAACATATGTCTGTATCGCCATTTACTCGATTTCTTGTGTGATACATAATTAGCCCAACCTAAATTTGCGCTTGCGCGGTATTCCTCATATTAACAAGTATATATAACTAAGAGCATCCACAACGGTGTACCATTGTTGGTATAATAACATGTCAAATCAGCATTTTGTCTTATTATCTTTCATTACACTGTTGTTTACATTGGTCTTTACACTTTAAAAGTGTAATATAATTAATTTACTATTGAATGATTATGGACCACTATAAAAAAAATTAAATAGAATAATTTGTATTTCCTCCGTCCCATAATTATTGTCTACTTCGCCCAAAAAATTTTGTCCCAAAATTATTGTCCAATTTGACTTTTTATGGATCAAGTTGCACATTTGTCCTTAGTAAAAAACATTATCCATAAAATCTTAGTGGTTAAACAATTACTTATGTAGGGGTATATCCGGTTGTTTAAGGTAAAAGTTTGACCAAAAACAAAATCTTTCATTTTAGTAAAACTGGACAATAATTATGGGACGGAGGGAGTATTAATTACTTGATGGCTCACCAAACCATATATTCAACAGTGTAAGAATTCTTACACCATGACAATTTTTTACACTCCATACAATGGTGATGAGTGTAATAGAGTAGTAATTTACCTCTTATTAACCACCACTAAAGATACTAAGTATTTTGGAGTGCTATTTAAATGTAAAGTTTTTGCATTGTAATCGTTTTTTTTAAACCGCGGATAGGAAATAATTTTTTTGCATTAGTATGTTGGAAACTTTTGGTTCGTATATAATCTTAAAAGTCGTTGGTTGGTGTTTAGAGGTAGAGATATATAAGCAAAAGTAGAGATAGTATACATGCGAGATAAATTTTAGAGAAGAAGATCATTACTCTCCACTTTATTGTCAAGCAAGTTCAATAGTCACCCAACTCACTCATCTATAGATAAGGATAGATAGAGAATATACTAGATGTTAAACCCGTGCGATGCGCGGGGTTTATTTATATACATTATAAAAAATCAACAAAAAAAATATAAAATGTGTAAAATGTATTTGGAGTCCATATTAAGATACATTACACAATTAAAATTAAATAAAGACGTAATTGTAAAGATAAAATAATGCATATCATTTGAAATACAAGTGTCCACTTGATTTTTATTGAAGGAGAAAAACTAGACTATAACACTCATAAGCAGAGTAAAATAAATAAGATTGTATTAATGTTATATATTGAATGAAAAGATAAAATGATTGTACGCGTAAAATACATAATGAAGTAATTATTAATAGTAGATGGTAGATTATGTATGACTGAAGTGTGAAGTTTAAAATTTTTATGGTTTATTTTGTTGTAATTAAAGATTCTATGGTACTGTTTGGCCCAATACTTAATATTTTAGAGCAACAAACTAACTGTAGAGTTAAAATTTTTGCTCTTTAATCCCTTTTTGCTATGACAATAGAAAATAATAATTAATGAAATAATGAAATTATGGGTAAAAAAACATAAATTTAGTAACGTCTGAAAAAGAACCCTAAAACATCATTTGCAGAAGAATATACAGAAAAAAATCATATATAACCTTAATTAACCATTACCTCCCATGCCACACGATCGACCCACTATTAGTTCATCACTCTCAGAACAACAAACCAACTGTAGGGCTAAAGTTTTTGCCCTTTCATTTTTGGATTTCGGGTTGTTTTGGGGAGGGAGAAATTTTTGCAGCACTGGAACACATACTCATGGTTTGTGTGGCATGTATAAATAGAGATAAATTGGGATTGATGATAATTGATTATCTAAAATTTTAGTGATAAAGATAAAGTTTATAACAATTTTAGAGATATTATTAAGGAAAATTTATATTTATTTGGGGTACATATGATATTACACAAATAAATGCATTGGTTTGAAATTCAAAGATAACATTTAATTATATTTAAATTCCATCCTTTTAGTAATAATTGAAGGCAAATTTTGTACCTTTTTTTTCTTTTTTATTGGCGAAAAATATATGATCATGTTTTTGGGAGAAGATTTTAAAGAATGTTGAATGATTGGTATTTTTTTTTTTTTGAATTGTAGTCTATTGATTCACATGATTGGGAGGGGGATTTTTTTTGAGAGAGATTAATTAAATGAGTCCAGTAGTACTTTGGGGGTTCTTTTGGGGAGAGAATAATTCTGGTGCATTAATGTTCATTAATCCCGTCCATTAAATTTAATTAATTTTTATTTTCTTATTTTAAACTATAGTTTTAAATGCCATTTGATAAAACTTTATTTACATAAAATTTGAAGGACTATTTGTATAATTGTTGAAAATATTTTTTGACTTAACCATTAGAAAAATGACAAATAGGATTTTATCCTATGTGGCACCTTTAGAATTCTTTTTTGTTTTCTCTCTCTGGTTTCTCTCTTAGTCTAATACTATAGATTTTTATGACTGAACAAAAAAACAGGTCATCGAACTATTTGGTAATTTGATCATAGGTCATCAATCAAATTTATTCTCAAACTAGGTCACTATACTAAGTCAAAAATTCATCCGAGATCATTGTGTTAATTTTGGCCGTTAAACAGTGACGGAAAGCTATTGTTCACATGCTTTTGGATTCATGGGTATTTTTGTCATTTTTTTATTTTTAAATTTTTAAAAATTTTTATTTTTTAAAAATTTATAGGTTTTAATTTTTTTCTACCATTCTTCTTCTTATACTTCCTAACTTGTATATGTTGGTAGTATAATTACTAAATTTAAAAAAACTAATTTAACTTTTGTATTCTAATTTCTAGATTATAATTTTTTTATTAAAAAAGAAGAAGAAAATTTCGAGTTGAAGTAACATGAAAATTAATAGTTTATTATTTTAAACAAAAAAACTAAAAACTGGCTAAGACAAGTTGTTTCTTCACTATTTAACGGCCAAATCTAAAAAATGATCGTGGATGAATTTTTCTCTGAATATGGTGACCAGTTTTTGGAATAAATTTTATTGATGACCTGTGATGGAATTCCCAATAGTTTAGTGACATGTTTTGTGGTTCACTCTTTATTAGTGTATTAAATATGGACAATTGACTAAACCATAGTCTGTGCATATCCAAATTCTATTTTTTGCACATATGATTCTTATTATACCTTTTCTCAAACTTCTTATGTTTTGCAAGTTTAGTCCGTGTTATTTTTTTTCTCTCTTCTCATAAAATATTTCTAATTTCAAATGAGCATATCTCTCAATCTATGAAGAATTAGAAAACGAATTATATATGAAATTCATAGTACTCATCAAGATCTATCAAACAAGATCCGTATTGAATATTTTTTTGGAACTTAAAAATGACTAAATTTTGATGGGCAGAAATGAAGGAAATTTGTATGTTATTTGGATGGATATCCAATTTAAGAAGATAGATAACCAACTTATTTTACATTCATATTGTTGTGCTCCTTATATCTCTTGATCCGTGAATAATTAGAGAACGGATTATACATGAAATTTATAGTACTCGCCAAGATCTATCCGATATGATCAATATTGAATATTAATTTCAAAAAAAGAATAATCTGGACAGAAATAAAGAAAATATTTGTGTTGGATAGTCAGTACAAAGATGTTGGATAAGCACTAAGAAACCGGTGGGTAGGCGGCCCTATTCAAATTCACTCTCACATTTTTTGCTGATGGAAATAGGTACATTCAGAAGCGTTGGATAAACATTACAAAATCAATGAATAGCCGCCACGATTTAGAGAAGCAGTAAAAATGATTGGATAAATAGTACAAACCTGTTGGATAATCAGTGTAAAATATACGGAAAAGGATATCCTAGAAAAATATAAAAGGAAACAAAAGTTAGAGAAGCAGTGGAAACCAGTCAGTTGGATAATCGGTATGAAAACATTGGACAACCATTTTTCAAAAAAATAAAAATAAAAGAAAAAAATGATTAGAGAAACAGTACAAAACCTGTTTGGATAAACAGAGAAAACGGTTGGATAACCAATACAAAATGGTTGGATAGTCAGTATAAAGGCCAGACAAGGATTTTCACAAAAAAAATAAAGAAAAAAATTGGTTAGATAAGCAGTACTAAACAGTTGGATATCAATCAGTTCATTACTAACTATTCGAAAGCCTTATACTTCTTATCCATATATTTAAATCTGCCTATCCAGCCAATGATTATTCCTTATCCACCATAACAGTGGACTTCAAATTTTAACAAAACTCTGCCAATATCTCAATAACAAAGATTAAACTAATAGAGATCAAATTAAATTTAATTTCTGAAAATCCAATCATGTTATTAAGGGTGGGGGTGGTTATTGCTGATAATTCAAAAATGATTAGACAAGTAATAGATACTTATTTGGACAATCAGTAAAAATAATTGGACAACCAATACAAAATGATTAGATAATCAGTATAAACACATTGAACAAGCAGTAAAAATAATTGGATAAGTAGTACAAACTGGTTGGATAATCAGTATAAAAATATTGAATAATTATATTTATAAAAAAAAGAAAAAAAGGTTAGATAACGATGACAAAGAAGTTGGATAATCAGTATGAACATATTAAACAAATATTTTCTCAAAAGAAAAAGAAAAAAAAAACATTAGACAAACCTTACAAACCATGTTTTGATAAGCA